CTTTTTGGGACATTCTTCAGTTAGGCCGGTTTTATTGTTTTTTTTATTATTTATTTTAAACGGTAATGGTGATCATCTCAGAAATTTTCCAAAAATCGTTATGGAGTTATTAAAAAGTCAAGATATTCGTTACACAATTCTAACAAGCTACATGTATCACGTGTCAACCACTAATTATAAAAAGTTATTTTTTTGATTTCCTTTTGATTTTTTTCAACTTCTCTAGTTCAAAATGAATTCCTCTAATAAAGTAACAAACTTGAGTTTCTTATTTCGGCCAACTCTCTTAACAAGAACTAATGCCATGGTATGCTTTTTGACTATATTAAATTTTTTTGTCAGTATGTCTTATAAGTTTATCAAATTTACTTAGTACCATCTGAGAGGTTATCAGCTGGAAATGTATTTACAAGTCAGACTTCCTCCATAAGGTCACACCTTCGGGACCATCAAAAAATCTGTGAATGTAAGGAGGCGTGACCTTACAGAGGTCAAATTAATATTAAAATTTTCTATTCGGGACTATGGAGAAAGTGTGACCTAACAAAGTGTGACCTTGCAGATATAACCTTTAAAGAAAATTCAAAACCTTTGAATGATTCTTATTTAGGTTTTTGATAAACAACTAAAATAATTGATTTTTGGCATATAATTATATACAGAATATAATAAGTTCTTGGGCTGGCTTAGCCAGCTAAGGTTTTTAATGGCCAATAATAAATAATTTCGGCCACAATAAACAATTTTCCTATTTATACACTAGCCTGATTATTTCAACATGTTATGTTCAAGCCAACATTAATTATTATTATATAGAGGAAATTGTTTCTTGTCAAATTTGATAACAGCCTTCTATGAATTTTAGTAATTTAGATGAATATGAATTAGTGTTGGTCGCCAAAACTGTTTTGAAAAGCGAAAGTCAAGACTAAAATTAAAAGTCATATTTCAAAACTAAATCAAAAGTCATTAGTAATCAAAACTAGTTTTGACTTATGGTGAAACCTTTTGACTTTCGCATGGTTGCGAAACTCTCTAGTTTTGGGAATCAACACTAATATGAATATATATAAAAAATAGTATACGTACATATAAAGGACACGATTTCAAATCTTATTTATTTGATTATAAAAAAACAGGTATTATTCCACAGTTTACTTGTGCATGATGTCTTAAAGCAAAAGTTCTGTGGTTGTACAATTCTATATATTAATTTTTTCTGGATCAACGAAAAGGATGTAAAATATTCCTACAAATCAAAGAAAGCTTCTCACACCAACATATTATTCCCCGGATATCATAGCTTTATGTAACCTTATAAATTGCACGGTAATTGTATATATATTAGTGTTGGTCGGCAAAACTATTTTGAAGAGACAAAAGTCAAAACCTAAAATTAAAAGTTATACTGTATGTCAAAACTAAATCAAAATCAAAATCAACAGTCAAAAGTCAAAATTAGTATCGACTTATGGTGAACCCTTTTGATTTTCACACAGTTGCAAAAATCTCTAGTTTTGGAAACCAACACTTATATATGTAAATTATAAATAATAATAACATACATTTTGGATCTGATGAGTTTTGACGACATTCGCAGTGTTTCGAATCGGAATCATCACCAACTTTTTTATTCTTAATTTTCGCTCCTACTACGCAAATTAGAATGTTTACAATTGAAAATATCTTTATACTCGGCAAATCATAGGCAAAAGAAACTATCAGCGGGATCACCCAAGTGACTGTGTTGTATAATATGTCAATGTCATCAAGTAATGGCAACAGAACATTTTTGATGACCTAGTTTTCCTGAAAGATTGAACAGAATGACAAAAATATTGTAAAGAATATGTAAAAAATTGCATCGTACACATCCTCTTTAGAATTGCAATTTTCGTTAATAATGAATGCAGTCGCGTGTAGGAGTGAAAAGAAAATGAATAGAGAAGGAATAGATCCTTGGAAGAGGAAATAATTACTCATATCGAATGATATGATAAAGTTCTCCCATAGAACTTATTTTACTGATATTTATAAACAATGTATTCGTGAGTGAACCAATCAATAATATTGCAAGATACTAACGGAATCTTTTATCCCCAGAATAATATTTGTTACATGAGCTAAAATTCAAAGTTTCTTATTAATGTTATTCGCAATTGTTGGGCTTTTTGTTTTTATGATAGAGAGGTGTTTTTGCTATTATAAGCAGTAATGTCTAAACTCTTTACAATTAGTTATGTTACCTTTATAATTTTGTGAAGCTGAAATCTTGAATTCACTAGAGTTAAAAATATGACGTTCAGATAGATAGTTTTCAAACATAACTTTGTAATTAGTTATTAATAATACTAAAATAAACACACATTTGCGAATTGTTTCATAGTTAAAGAGGAAAAGCGTTATTTCGTAACCACTCTTCTAATGATTAATGGTTTGGCCAACCTTTAATTATTAGTTGTATATATTTCTTTTATCTTATTTCTCTCTTTTTTTTGTTAGCGATGCTAATGGGAAAATCTGTGATATAAATTCTATTAGAAACTAATGGGCATTTATATAAATTGCACTTCTTTTTTGGTCTTATTCATGTATTACTTATGGTGCTTTGTTTTTATTGGAGCGCGTAACATCAAAATAAAAAATTCATTGCACTACTATGTTTTAAAGCATTAAATTCATTAAATTTATTTCTACTATGGAATAGTGTAGTGCTCAATATATCAAATCTTAAATCTTGGATGAAACAAAGGTTTGTGACGAAACATTTGGAGTGTAAAAAATATTTCGTCAAATAGGGGGACATGTGTCGAATGTGACGAAAATGACATAGTAATAAGGCAAAAATCAAAAAGTGATAAAGGAAACGAAAGTGACAATAAAATTCAGTTTTATTTAGATTTAATTAAATCAGAAATTTTTAAGATATTTTTAGATTGTGAATCATGTTTCTTAATTGGATACCTAATTTCTTTACGTAAAGTTTTAGTGGAATTGCTGCTTCATATTTATTGTTGGTTTCATAACTTTATTCAAAATCTGTAGAATCATCTGATTTTTCTGATTGTTGAAATGTCTCTTCATTTACTATTTCCGAAAATAAATCCCCCTTCATTGATCATGAACCAATTCTAATGGATCATAATCTGAATTATTATTTTTATAATTGTAATCTCTATGATTTTCCGACTCCATATCCTCATTCATTTTATCATTGTCATCCAAAAATTTTTTCTAATTTATATAGCAAATTTCTAAATCATTGTTATTGTCAATCCTTTTTCTGGTAAGTTCCTACTTAGTTAAAAAGAATCAATATTATTTACAAATATTTCAACGCCCATAAAGTCTCCCTAGATATGTATAGTTTGGTGAATAATTTCGTCATTTTCGTAGAAATACTATTTATTTTCGTCATGTGATGAATAAGAGGCATTTCGTCATCCAACCTTGCTGAAACTAAATATACCTTCTAAAGGGATTTTATTAACAATTTATATCCTTGAGGTATGCTTGGATAATATTATAAATCATTTAATAGCAATAAAGACTCAATTACTAATTTCTAAATAATGTCAAGAAAATATAAATATTTTGAAAACTAACTTAAATAATTAATATTGTTTTTAACAATATTACCTTCATTTTGTAATTTGAAATAAGTGAGGAAGAACCCCGGATAATTATATTTGAACTGGTATTATCAAAAATGAGCGGAAATTGACTTTTAAGAGAAACTGGTAAGTGGTAGGGTATTTTTTAACCGGAATGATATAAATAAAATAGTTAGTTCTGTACTTTAAGCCCAATCTACAAAATTTCTCAACACACCCTCAATTATTATAACCTTTACCATCCTTGGCGAACAAAAAAACCAAGACTTATTAATAATCTACAAGTAGACATCACTCCACCAACCTCTGTCCAATGTGAATATACCTCCATTGGCTATAACAAATATTTGTAAATCTTGATTGATTTAATCACTTCTAAATCTTATAACATTAAAACTTGTATATCATATTATTTATTTGATTATTTATCACTTACTTATGAACTAATTCTCCAAAGAGTCATTTATTATATCATCTTACCTTTGGTGCACATACATTTAAATATTTTTTATTTTGGATAAATCAAGTGGCGATATTCTTTTATTGCTACTACTTGCAGTAATACATGTAGTAGAAGTGGAAGAAGACAAGGCGGACAAAAGTTCTATTGGTACGCAGTGATATTAGCCAGCTGAGAAGGAATTTTTAAATAGCTTAGCCGCTGACAAAGTTATTTTTCTCTTTGACGTTTATTTCATTATAAAGAAAAAACTTGCCACTCATTTGCCAAAAAAAAAACACAATACTCGTAGCAGAATAAAAAATAATAATGAAATAATAATAATTGTGAACCATTAAATAATAATAATAGTGAATTAAAGAGATATAAGTTTTTTCATCAACTGAGATTCATTTAAGTTCTTATCTGGCTAAGGATTTTCTGGCGGCTAACATCACTACCAAAAGATGGATTCAAAACTTTGAATGATATGTATGATCCAATGGAAAATTCATGGAAGGTTTGTAAAAATTAATTTAATTGAAATTGCATTCAGGCAATTGTTTATTTTCGGGCCTATCCAAATGCTCAGGTGTATGGTGCTTCCATAGCATTTGAAAGGATGGTCTATCTGGGACTTCAGTTTGTTATATTAGATTTACAATGAGCTCTATGACCACAATTTTGTGACCAGACTATATACAATCTGCAAAGGAAAATTATTTATTAAGAGGAAATTTTAAATGGAATAGTTAATTCCAAAGACTAGTGAAATGAGCCGGCTAAGGAAATTTTAGTCTTAACCACTATTATAGAGTAATAATAATATTAAATGTCACAAATATCAATAAAAATTCTTGACATACGAATAAGAATTTATTTAGCAATGCCAGCATGTTCAGCACCTCCTAAGGGTTTGATTTCATCAACTGTACTGGAAATGGTTTTATTAAAAAAGTAAAAATAATTAATATAAAATTTATTAAATTCATTAGGAAAATTTGACAGCTAAGGGTTTTTACCAGCTGACATCACAATTTTATATATAATGAATGATACAACAACATTGAGACACTACAACACAGTTGGATGTCAAAACAAATGAATTATTTATTATCAATAGACAGATTATGAATAAATTTATAAATAAATCTATCCCCTGAATACTTGAAATGATGAATGGTGATTATTATTATAATTTGTGTCATTTTTATTCTTTTATACCTGATAGGTAGAGGTAATTAAATTTTAACTACAAATGATTATAAACACCTTTCCATTTTTTTTTTAATAATAATTCATCTATCCAAATTTCTTCTTAACTATACATGAAGTCAAAACTATTGCAGATCTGGTCGAAATAGGGTCGAAATAAGGTCGAATCTGATTTTTACTATGTAGTTGCCTCAAGTCGAAACATTTCAATTTTGGGGTTTTAATTTCGACTTCATGTATATTCTTAACATTGATCAAATTGAACTTGGTAATCAATATCGTTTTATTTTATAGTATTGTACTTGTGCATAAATACCATATTTAATAAAATATATTTTCAAGAAATATACTATAAAATTTATCCAATGTATATACAATGAAATTTTGTTAATTTTGAATTCCACAAAAACAAATAATGACATAATAGAATAACAATTATTTTTTGATATTTTTAATCTCAGCCAATAATGTTTCCAACATTTGTTCATTATGCTTTAATCTATTTTCAACCTCTTTAATATCTAATTTAACTGGTTTGGGTATATCTGCCAATTTTCTAAGTACATCAGAGATAAATGGAAGAAATTTTGGATCTTCATCACTGTTATCAATTTCTTTAATTTTCTTTTGAACATCTTCAATTGGTACATAATAATATCTATATAAAATTATCAAAAAAATTATAATACTTATTGATCAAAGAAATAAAGATAAATAAAATAAAATTGTATATTTACAAGATATCTGGAAACCATTCCCTCCAACGACGTTGATTAGGAAGCAAATAAAATAATTCAATATCTGTTATGATTTTTGCCTTTTGAGCTAAAAATGCTTCAGTTATGTCATAGTTTTCAATTTGATTGCTAAGAAGACCAATGAATAAATTCATTAAATATACTACAACAATAAATGAAAATGCAATAAATAATATTGCCAGATATGGATCATCCTGTAATTGCCATGACCCAAATGCTCCACTATCACCTATTAAAAAAATCAAATGATTGTTATTAAGTATATTTATTATTTTAATATTTTCAAAACCATATAGAAATTTACCTGTGAGGAAATTATACATTGCCAGCATTGAGGTAGGAAAATATGCAAACATGTTTGTGTTCCCATCAGGTTGTTGTACCATAATTGAATTCTGGTCATATGATTTGCTACTTTCAAAATATGTAAAATATTTAGAAGCAAGGTTCCAAGGATTATTGGGATCATTCTCTTTGAAATCAGGGCTGTCTAGTGTAAAATTTCCATCAATTGGTTTTAATAAGATGTAAAATGCATGTGAAAAACTTAAA